AACCTGGGAAGTGCCTCAGTTTTAGGCAGTCTCCTGCTTTATGGCTTCAGGTCTGTTCCTCACTCCTGAAACCACCTGTACTTTGGGAGTTATGTAAGCACAGAAGTTCCCATCTCTTCCCTTATTTCTTTCCTGTCTGAAGTAGCAGGAATTTTCTTCTTACATCTGATTTATCGATATATATTTTTTAACTTTCACATAATTGCTTTCTGGTTTATTCAACTTCTTCCTACATTTGTATTCCTAACTTTCAAATGAAGGATGGCCTGGCATCCCAAAGCCCTGTTCTGGAAACATTTGATTATTTCTTTTCCTTAGAAGATTGATATAGAACTGAATTGTTTCAAACAGCTGGTGATTTTAATGAATAACTCCAGCTCTGAACAGATGTTGATATTGTAGGTGCTTCAAATTTAGAGAAGATCTCTTTTCCATTTAAGTTCATTTTGGGGAATAATAATACTTGTATCTAGGATATAATACTTGTTTTTAGGATATTCTTCAAATAAATTTACCCTTAAAACTATCCTGGTGTTTTCTGTTAAGTCAGAAAAAAATGAGCTCAAAAGAGAATAAACACCCAATCCAGTGAATTTGGTTCAAGTTGGTGATGTGAGTTTGCCAGATTTACTTTTGCATGCTTTCTGTATATTTTAATATGTCTGTAAAAAGATGAATAAAAATTTTTAAAAGAAATTATTTTATGTTATAAAATATATTCCATGTATCAAAATATATTAATATTTCATATAATTTAATATATTACTTACTGAAATTAATAAAATAAAAATACATTACTCAGGCTGTATTTGAAAAACTTATGGCTTTGGGCCAAAAGTCCACATGGTAAATTTAGCCAGGGATAGCAGTAAGTGTGATTTAAATACAGAATACAGGTATAGAATCACCTGGGGAAAAGGAGATGTGGCTCTGCTCTTCCCTTGGTGCCCACTTTTGGTGTATATTTAATTGGAAGATTATGCATCCATCTAGCAACAGTGTAAATAAATTAATTAAGTTGTGAGCTTGGCAGCAGGAGTGGCTGGGAGGGAATACAGCTGGGGATAAAATCCAGCAGCAGACCCTCAGAGCAGCCCAGTTTCCAACCAGGAGGAGGAAGAGCTCCTACAGGAGACGTGTCTGGGGCTGCTTCTCTGTCATTACTCTGCAGTGATAAATCTGGGTCTCAAGATGGTTTAAAGGCTTGTTGTTTATTACTGATGGCATTAAATTCATTACAGTAATTATGAATTATTGGTAATTTATGTGTTCTTTATTTGAAAGCATACTTTTCATTAAAAGTTAACTTTATTGGTGAAGTTAACTTCTGAAATTCAGTATTGGAGTTTGTGTGTGTTTGTGTATATGTAAAAACCTTAGATTGCTGCATTGCTGCAGCTTTGCCATCAGTGTAAAAGAATTTATTCTAGGGTGCCATCTCCAATTAATATTGTCTGACCTGGGTTAATGGAAAGGTATCCACTGGCTTGGGTGATTTTCCTTTTAAATGAAATCCCAAAGAATGCATGACATGGTGTTCACAGAAGAACCACAGTTCAGGAGGGGATCCAGGAGCAGTAACTGTCAGCATTCATTTTAAAAAACCCCAAAACTGACTGTCCCTTCAGTTTGTGTTAAGTGTAGTTCCTAAAGCTTTTCCAACTCTTCTTTCCAAATCCTTTTGGAGATGTTCCATGTGGCAGCATTATGTGTCTAAAATCCAACTATTTGTGTGCAGGCTTGGTATCAGAAATGCCTTGTTCATTTTGAGTGGAAAACATGGATTTCATTGGGAAAATGAAACAGCAACTGCTGCCTCATCCTCCTCTCTTGAAAAGGGCATGGAGCTTCCTGGTGGACAGGGGAAGGAATTCACCATTGGCAATGGATGGTGCTGATGCCCAGGAGTGTGGAAGGGGCTAGCAGTGGGCCTGTTAGCTAAAGGAGTGAGAAGTAAGAAGAAGAAGCTGAACCAAGGAAATCAAGAGAAGAAAGATAAGAGCATTGTGCAACTGGAGGGGAAACAACTGGAAAGTGTACCAGCCATTTTCACTAATAAAGTGTTGCCAATGGTTGCCAATGGTTGCAAACGGTGCTAAAGGTTGAACACTGAGACTAAGACTGAGAGTGCTTGTGGTCTCTGCTTTAATGTCGTGACCGCCTCGACTGCGACATTTTGGTGACCCCGACGTGATGGAGATATGCAGCCTGAGAGCTGTAGCAGCCTGAAGAGCTGTGGAGGAATATGCAGCCTCAAGAGCTGTGGAAGATATGTGTTGCAGCCTGAGAGCTGTAGAGAAGAATGAACCAAGGAGCTGTGGCAGCCAGGAGCTGCGAGAAATATGGCCTTTGTGTCAAGAAGCTGTGTGTGCCGACGTGATAAGAAAATAGTCGGTGGGGCCCAGTCCTAGCAATTGGCATACGTGACCCACTGGGACATAGTGGGAGGCGGCGTTGGTGCAGCTGAGAGTGGCAAGTGGAAGCGACAGGGAGGTCCGGACCTGATTCTCTCAAATCAAGACACCTGGAAGTAGGTGAGTGCGCGGGGGCGGCCGTAACACACCATAGCAGGTGAGCCACCAACTAGTACTAATGGGAAAAAATTTATCTAAAGAGGAAGAAAATGTTCTGTCTACATGGAAAGTTTTGTTAAGAAATAAGGGAATTAATACGTCAGACTATGCACTTCGTAATATATTGCTGTGGGCTAAATCACAGAATTTTGGCACTGATCCCGACACAGCATTTAGTGTTAAGGCATGGAAAAAGGTCGGGGACAGACTTTGGCAAGTCATTTGAGCGGGAGATAAAACAGTTGTTGATCTAGCAGTTACTTGGAACTCGCTCTTTGAGGCTTTAAAGGAATGGAAAATAGAGAGAGAAAAGGAGCAAGATGTGGACGAAGAGTCAGGGCTGATAACAGAACCTGACGAGGGGGCCTCTGCTCTGGTCCAGCCATCTGCCCTCCCGCTCCCCTCTGAGCGGCTTGAACAATCTGCAAGGCCGTATCCTCCTTTACCTGACAGTGACAGCAACAGCGAGTCAAGTGATGAGTCGTCCGCAGTAACACCTGAGTTGGGGCAAGGAGCTCTGGTCCCTTAATCTCTTAAGAGCTCTAGCCTTACTGCCCCATGGACTTTGCCTCCATGCCAAGTCACTGTGCTTCCTCGACATCCTCAGGAGTTTTGGGAATTTGTTAGGAGGAAAGCAGTTGAAGAAAAGAATTGGGACATCATAGAAAGGTTAGGTGCTCCAAGAGTACCTAAGGATAATTGTGGACAACAGGGGCACGTAAAGTCACAGTGTACTGTCCAGAAAACAACATTTAGGCCAAGTGCTAGCAGTGATGTTGTATGCAATCATTGTGCTGAATCTGGGCACTATGCTAAGCAATGCAAGAGTAAATATCATGCAAATGGTCAGCTATTGCCGGGAAACCCAAAGAGGGGCGTGAGGGGCCGCGTGGGGAAACAAATACCCCAACAACCACAACAGCAAATGCGGGCCTTCCCAGCCCTGCAAAGCTACCCATTTGCCAACAATTCTCAGGGGCAACGAGCGGGTCCGCAGGCATTGATATACCCACCGCTGACACAGTAACCATTTTAACAAAAGAAATATGTAAGGTACCCCTTGATGCCTATGGTCCAATAGGATGGGGATTGAGTGCATTTTTGATAGGGAGATCAAGTACTACACTTAGAGGTATTCATGTGCATCTAGGGCTTATTGATGCTGATTATTTAGGGCAGATTCATGCTATGGTATCCATTGATGCCCCTCCTGTCACTATTCAGAAAGGAACTTGCATTGCTCAACTTATACCTTTTGTGAGTTCTGTTCCAAATACAGTGGACCGAAGTCGCGGCACAGGAAGCTTTGGATCGACAGGAGAACCTCAAGTGTTTTGGACTGAGAAAGTAACAGAGAGCCGTCCAGAAAAGACATGCACTCTCACCGCCAGTGGATGTCATCCAGGAACTATATCAGTAACAGGTTTGATTGACACTGGAGCAGATGTCACAATACTCTCGCGACTTTGCTGGCCTCAATCGTGGCCTCTCACTCGTGCAAGTTTTGGACTCCTGGGATTGGGTGGTGCTACAACAGGTGGCCTGTCAGCCACTGTAATTAATGTGAAACATCCTGATGGCCAACAAGCTAACATCAGACCCTATGTTGCCGATGCTCCTCAAAGTTTGTGGGGAAGAGATAGTTTATCTCAATGGGGTGTCAAAATTACTATGGTTTTTTAATGGGGGCCACTGTGTTGCAGGGTAATGAACGTCCAGTTGTACCCCTGACATGGTTGACAGATAAGCCTGTCCGGGTTCGCCAGTGGCCCCTGACTACTGAAAAGCTTACTGCCCTGCAAGAATTAGTTACAGAACAATTGCAAGCAGGACACATTGAGGAATCATTCAGTCCCTGGAACACCCCTGTTTTTGTAATAAAAAAAGAAACCGGGAAAATTGAGACTTTTACATGATTTATGGCAGATAAATGCTGTAATGGCAACAATGGGAGCTTTACAACCAGGCCTTCCTACACCCACGATGATTCTACAGGAATGGCAAATAGTTGTCATTGATCTAAAAGATTGTTTCTTCACTATTCCGCAGCTGAAGCAGAACGTGCGGATGACACTGGCTAAGACCATATATCAGTACTCTAAGATCATATATTAGTACTTAAAGATGGATGAAGGACAGGAACGATTGTATTAAGAATGGGAATTTTGTTGATGGTTGTGATTGTGATTTTGTGTGTCGCCTCTCTGCTTGGATTTTTGCAAAGGGCCCTTATACAGGAGTATTTTGCCTGTATAATTACCATGCTGAGGTTCCAGAGGAGGTGAGTGGAAGGTGCTGTCCTTGTCCTTGCTCTCCTAACCTCACACAGCTGTCTTTTTCCTGGAGTTTCTCAGGGAGACAGCTTGGACTAGTGAGCCTTCCTCTCCTTTTAACAGTAGGAAAAAGAAGGGGATGAAGAGAGAAATAATGTGTTGAAACTTCTTTCCACTCAGGGCTGGAATGCACAGGTATCCATGAAACCACTTCAAATGGTATTGTGGGATGTGATATTGACTTCCATGAGGATCCCTATGGGAAAAATGTCCTCTCTGGAGGAACCACCATGTGTATCCTGGGATTTGGGATCATGTGCAGAAGGAGAGGACAGTTTGCCTCCAAGTACAATGAAGATTAAGGTGATTTTTAAATATTTTTTTATTTCTGCCACTTCCATCTTGAGGTGATTTTTCCTTATTCAAAAGGTCTCTTAATGGTAAAAGCTGCAAAATCTGTCCAAAAGGGGTTTTTCAAAGTTCTGCTCTAGCTACCTAAAAGTAAGAGAGATTGATCTTAACTTCATTCCCACTTTTGAACAGCAGTCAGCTCAAACTCCCAGTATCCATGTCTTTCAAGCAAATGGCAATCATATTTTCCTCAGCCTCTGAGTGAATTTTATTATTCTGATTTCAGTTTGTGTGACTGCTCAGGTTTTTAATAAATCACCTTATATGTAGGAATAGCACTATGAGCTGGCCTTATCACCTGCCTGAGCATCATTAGTTGCATTTCAATCTTGACTTCTTGTAGGTGTGGTGGTCAAGAACACCAACCCTGGTCCTCAGGTCTCTGCAACCAAGTTACATTTGCAGTCCCCACAGGATCAAAGCAAAATTCCATTCAATTTGCCAAGAATTTACTTTGCCCTTGTTTCAGTATTAATGGTGAAGGATGTTCTTTAGTTGTTCAAATTTTAATTTTTGTTTTATACAAACTATTTTGTTGCTTCCATAGTTGCTTCTTTTTAATTTGGTTATGAATTTCCATTAATTCTCGGAATTGCTTTAACAAGGAAAAATTGTCATCATAATTTGAATGTTATTCTTTCTAAATGGGAGAAAAATCTATCCAATACAAGAAGAAACAGGCATTCCCACACACACATTTTTTTTCTAAGGGGAAGCACCTTCTTTTCTTTAGGAGTAAATTGTAGAGGAAAGCATGCATCCACATGAAGGTTGCCTTACATATAAACCAGCCCAGGTGCAATGGCTTCTGGGGATGCAATTTATTAAATCCACTGAGATTTTAAATGGGAGTTTTGGAAGTGATTTTTGAGCCTTCAGCCTCCTCTAACTCTGCAATTCAATTCTGCATTTCCCATCAGGGATATTTTCCTGGTAAGTGCTACAAGATCTGAGGGAGACACTTGTCATCAGTTATGTCAAAGGTCTTGGTGTTCACTCACAAAATACAGAAAGCAATTTGAAGGTTTCTTCTGGGGAGGTTTCCCTCCGTTTTTGCTTCCAAGTTAGATGTTCCATGTGTGGTGACGTTTTCTTGGAGTTAGTGAACTCTCTATTAGGGCTTTACTGACATTTTAAGAATCTCTAGATACACGAAAATATGTTTTTAAAAAAGGAGCAGTGTTTTCGAGACACAAAATGCAAATGGAAAATCCTGAAACAAATCATTAATCATTCATTAAAATGGTTGTTGGTCATGTTAATTGGGGCTTCAAAGAAGAAAGGGCATTGGCTTTACCTCATGTGTACAGAATAGGGAGGAAAGAGAGAAAAATATATCGTGGTGGAAGCAAATCACCTTGGTGGAAAACTTCTTGAGGTCACTGAGGACATCATGCTTGGGATAAACTGACCCCTTTTTCATTCTGGCAAACTTTTAATGAAAGAGGAAAAGGGCCTGGTGATCTTTTGCTGCAGAGGTTAATAATAGATGATCCTGATGAGCATTTCATGTAAAAAGCAAAGCCTGCAGATCTCATTACCTGGCCCTCCCGATTGTGCATTCCCATCCAGCTAGAGGAGTGGAAAATACACCTGAGACAATTAAAAAAGGTTATAGTGGGCAGCATTCACATTTCTGATTCCACTCCCAGTGCACTTCCCTTCTTAATAGGGATAGAAGAGGCCCCTGAGGTCATCCAGGCTGCCTGCCCTCGCTGCGGGCTGAGACACGGGGCTGGCCGCACTGAAGGGCAAGGTGAGAGCAAGATCTGGGTGAAACTTGATTGATTAGCAGTTGCTGTAACTGTAAAATGCTAAAATGCTGTTTTGCCTGCATTCATTTTCAGTAAAGCTCCTGATTTCTCTGCAAATCTACAGCCAGAAAGTCTGGGCAGAGGTGCTGAACCTTGTCTAGAGTGTGACAGTGTGGCCAAGTCTCCATCACACTGACCAGTGTGCAAGGCAGAGGAGTGAAAACCACCCAAATTCCACATCCCTCTGTGCTGGTTTCACAGGACATTCCAGAAAACAACAGTCCTGGCACAGAGAAGACCAGAACTGTAACGTGGTGACAACAAGCAGTGAAAGGTGCAAGCTTTGAGGTGAATTAAATTTGTGAAGGTGGAAGCTGAGCCTGGCAACGTGAGGAGCTGCTGTGGAGGAGAATGAGATTAACAGGGTAAAATATTTCCTGTTTAAGGTTGGCCTCAGGCAAGAACGAGTTTGTCAGTGTAATATGTTGTTGAATTTTAATATGGAAATGTCTCCTGGCATGTATTTCAAACACACTACAAATAGTGATATTGATCTAACCTTCAATTAATGGGAGAGGTCCTCTGTGAAAATCGGATCTGGGTTTGAATGGCAAATAGCTTTAATATTCTGAGGACAGTGGATCATTTGCACAGCTCAGTAAGAGACTATAAATCACCATGATTAGGTTTTTTTTTTTTATTATCATTTTAATGCAGGCTTGCTTTCCCTGGAGCAAGGGAGCAGGAGTGTGGTAAATCATTAAAAAATCATGGAGACGGTGTCAGTAGGTATGGACAACAAATAATCTACTTATGCTAAAAGGAATTATTTGAAATCCATTCATTCCTGCTCTCTGTTACCATGTTTTTTAGGTATCTGCTCTCTTTTGGGATAGAATGAGCACTCTCCCTTTTGCTTTTACACAATCTATGAGTGCCTTTCCACTTTTGGTCCTCACAGAGCATCCATCCTAAAGGCCATGTTTTAGAGCAGTCTGAGACAGAACCAAAGCTGATTATTCCTTGAATTGGGAGTAGCAAGATTATTCCTCATGGCTTCTTCCAGCTGTGTCTTCTGTACGTTTTATGTGCCTGTGTTTGTATTTATGTATAAACCTTAGATTGCTTCATTGTTGCAGCCCTGCAGGAAAAAAAAAAAAAAAGAAAGCTGTTGGCAAATAACCCTTCTTAGCCAAGAAGGGTTTCATGGTTTCAATGAAGTTGATGCTGATATTGAGCAGTTTTCTAGAGAGCTGTTCATGATCAGTCTGTGAATTTAGCAGATTTACTCTGAATTGATTTCCTATCTGGCCCAGAAAAAATAATGTTCTTAAAAGTCTTGGAAGCCTCTAATTAAACCAGATAAGAATTTCAGGCAGTTTTGGCTTCCACTGCTCTGTGAAATGCCCAAGATGAGAGATCAGCTTGAATGTGTGGAATTCCCTGTCCAGCCAGCCTCTGTTGGGGATTGTCAGGAAGGTTTTCCTTCTGGGAGCTCCTTCACTCTGGCTGTCCTGTAAAGAGCATTTTGCTGTGCAGGTTGTTCCCTAAATCAGCTGCTTGGCTCCCCCCCAGAGCTGCTGAATGAATGTGATGTGACCCAGGGATGCAAAGGGATTTCTGGGATTTCTCTCATTATCGGGGCTGGGATGCTGGGAGAACACAAAGATGGGTTTCCTAGACAACAGCTGATGTCACTGGGAGAAAGGACAGAGGCTGAGAGGGGAGTTTAAAAAGAGCGGGGGGAAATCTTCTGAATAGTGAAGTTACAGATTTTACAAAATATAAAACTCAGCAGAGAGACCTGCTTCTGAAGTCTGGGAAACAGCTCTTGGAGAAAAGAATTAGAAATAAAAATCCCTCACAAAGAAATGCAGTTTAAAACACAAGTACATCACCTCCTGGAGTCTCTACATGCTGCAGCCTCAAAGTCACAATCCTCACTGAGCCTTTTCCCCAAAATAAAACAATCCAGAATGTTAATCCTTCTGGAATAAACCCAGATGGCACCATGGACATGATTTCATTTGGATGAAGTTTCACTTCAAATTCCATGCAGGATAAATAAACCATTTCTCCTCTGCTCTGGATGTGCTCAGGCTAGGAAGGCTGCTGGTTAATATTTAAGTGGCATTCCTGACAGCAGAGTTGTGTGCATCAGCTTGACAAACCAGCTTCTGTCTGGCCCTGTGGTTCATGTCTGAAAAGCAGGTTAGAAACTTGGATGCAACATTCATTTTCATCAGCACTAGAGAAGGATTAAATTTCCCTCATCTGACCACTTTAAAATTATTTAAAAGATTATTTTTCTGTGCCTAAAACGATAGCCCTTTGGGCTAATATTTGCTTTGGAGAGCTATTTTAGGATCCTCAGGGTTTTGAGGCTGCAGTTTCCCAGCCTTCTAAGCTGAGCTGCTGGCTTGCTGCCATCAGCAGGGCAGGGGCTTTTCCTCCCCCCTCAGTTCTGCTGCCATTCCTTCTGCCTGCCCGGGCCAAACAAAAGGGCTGCTTTTGCTCCATGTTGACTAATCAGTTTCCAGGTGGGTCAGTGAGTGGAATTGTCTCGTGGATGGTCCTGGCAACCACCACAGCTGATGCCAAGCAAAGGGAGAGACCAGGGGAGTGTTGGCTGCCCCTTCCATTGGCAGGATTTTATTGCATTGCCCTCTTGTTTCGTGGAGCTTCAGCATCAGGAGAGGGGGTGTGGTGTGTGCTGAGGAACAGGAGTTCTCATCTGTGGCCAAAATTCAGTAACACCTCTGTCTGTAGGCTTGGAGCAGCACTCTTGCATCATTCACCTGAAGGATTTATAACCTTTGCAATAAATTCTTGTGAATTAGCTAGTATGGCAGGAAAAACGAGGATGGGAACCACGGTCAATCAGCCGTGTCTCAGTCTTTAGGAAGATTAAGGAGCAATTCCTCAAGAAAACCCTTTAGTAGCACATGAGGAGCATGAACTCCAAAGATCTCTTCCAGTCTATTTTTTTTCCTCATCTGTCATTGCTTTGCCTCTTTTACAAGTGTAAAGTAACTTTGACCAGTGCTGCTTTCAGTTCTGTTTATTAGAAAAAGGAGGAATAGCAGTAAACACCTCTAACTTTATTGCTTGCTTTGAATGCCTTCTTTTCCTCTCTCAAAACTATTTCTTAGCCAAGTATCACTCTGAGGCTCACACTGGGCAAATATGTTGGTAAAGTTTGTTGGAATAAGAGCTTACATACATTCAGGGCTCTGGGACACTGCAGGTTATTGAGCTGCTTGTTGGACCAGTTTTCCTCCCCACTACCTGCCAGGGGATGTCAGAGTTACACAAAAATGGTGCAATAAATGAGCCAAATTTCTACTTTTTGCACTAAAAAATGTTCTTGCATTAAATCTTTACAGTCTCCTCCAAGAAAGCTTTGACCTCAGCAGGAGGGTAGCCTGAGGAAGGGAACAACATTCAGCCTAGACTGTGTATTCAGTGAGGATTTATTTTGTGCTTTATTAACCTGGACTGAAGGCTTCTTAACAGATGTCAGAGACTTTACTGGGAAGAATTGTCAAATCTCCATGAGAAAAGCTTTCTCCCTGGTTTTATTAGTGAACTGTATCCATGCAAGGGAATTTTGCTGTACATAGAGCTAAAAATGGGTGTCACAGTAACAGTTTCATCATGATTTTATTGTCAGGGCAATGCACTCTTGGCATTTGCTTCTGATTCTTTTCTTTGTGACTTTCTGTGCTCTGTCCCAGCAAAACATCAAGGCAGTGAAGTGCTGCTGCTCCTGGGCTTCTGTGCCCTGGCAAAAGCAGTGTCAAGGTTATTGTGGGAATTGTATTTAAATTGGGAAGCATTTCAAAATGAGCACTGCTTCAAATGGTACTCCCTGCAAAAAGTGAAGTGTCCAAAAGGAGCTTCCAAAGACACTTCTGAGTGCTGGAGAGATTATTGCCATTCCCCAAGCACAGGAATCTTAAGAGGCTTAACCAAAACCTGCAGGAGTTCATTGTGAGAACCCTGGGCTGCTGCCAGGAAAACTGAGCCATTTTTCTTTCTTATTTTTTTATTTTTTCAATTTCATTGCTGAAATCTCATGGATTAAAAAACAAACAAACAAAAAAAAAAAAAAACAAGAACAAAAACCACCCCAAAAATAAAACAAGCAAAAACCCCAAGCACAAAAGAATTAGTGGCTAAGTGATTTCTATTGGCTTTGCTGTCCAAGATACTCATTTGGAAGCTGATTCTCAGAAGCTAAAATTAGATTGGCATCATATTTAAAGCCCTGGGATTTGTCATGGTCAATAGAACTGAAATAAAAACAGTTGGCATTCATCTTTCTTTCCTACAGAGGTATCCTGCTAAAGTCTATTCAATTATACATCATTTATCAATCATAATGGTGTCATGCTTTTATTAATTAACTGCTAGGTTAAGTCAGACTAAACTTTATCTCTCCAAACAAAGAGCTCTTTTATTGTAACAAAAATCAATCTCACTTGTTAAACTTCTGCATTACAACATACAAAGTTCTCTGCTGTTTTTGTTTTTCCTCCTACTATAGCTCAGCATTAACACAGAGCTTTTAGTCATTAACTAATACAGATGTTAATTAATTAATCATGCTTGCACAGTTCTCTATTAAATTGCCAGTCCACTAAAATGCATCCTTTCTATTCCCTAAGGGTATTTGGTATTTCAGTGAGGTCTTCTGTTAATTTTCTCTTTTCCACAGCATGTTTAACCTTCTTTTGCTGTCATTTAGAGGCACTATTATCTCAGTTATCCTCTCTTGAACCTCCTGTGTTGTCCATTTTTTTTCCCTTGCTCTAATCAGAGCTGTGCAGTTGCCCCAGATTCTCTTCTGATTAAGTGTAAAAAGTCAGGAAAAAAACCTGAATCAGGGTTAACTCTACTAGAAGTCAGATTGTAGAATTCAGACCGCAGTTCTGGTTCATATTAAGATGCAATTGCTTTGATTTGTATTTGTTTTTAATGAGATTTATCACTGAGTGTGATTAGGCATTGGCTAGTAAATTGTGTCTAGCTTATGTGGAGAGAAAAACAAATAGAAACGTGGAAAAATTAGGAAAAAAAAAGATTCCAGAAATTACGGAATTATTTGAAATCTCAAAATCATCATCAGCAATGAGAAACTAAAGAAGCCCAACCTGCTCCAAGGTGAGGGAACTTGGAGAGAAGCTGTAGAACCTTCAGGGAGAGGATTGCAGAGAGCTCTGAAATGAAGCAAAATGCACCAAACCCCAGAGTTTGGGAACTGGAGCCAGAGTAGTTCAGGGTATATTTCAGACTGGCTGGGAGTAATTAACCATCAGAACAATTAACCTATGGACATAGAGAATTTGTTGAAGTATTTAAATTGAGACTAAGTATTTTTCCTAGATATGTGGTTGTTCAGCCAGGAATTACTGGGTGAGATTCCTTGGCACTGCCTCCTGTATGAAGTCAGGATAATTCATCACAGACTCTCAGCCTTGAAATTTAAGGCTCCAAATGTCATCTGCTCAAAACCTAATTTTATTTTCTTTTTTTCTTTTTAAGTGTTTGGAGGGAAGCACAAAACATCTCTCTTGGGGTTCTTGCCCACACACATTCCCAACTGTTTTCCTGGGAATAATGCAGAATTTGCCTTGTGATTCAAGATCTTTACTCCTGTCCTGTAATGTAAAATCTCTTTTAATTTATTCCTGTTCTTTGCTATTGCACTGACTGGGGTTTGATTGTGGTAGTTGCTCCCCTATTGATGTTTCATTTCCAGCTGGTTTTATATTCATATAGATATAAATATGTATATAAATAACAATGTTTCCTGCAGGCCATGTAATTATACCTGCAGATTTTCTCTCTGTCAAACCTTTCCTGTTATTGTTGCTTCCTCAGTGAGAACTCTGTGGGTAAATCCATGCTGCAATTTAGGTATCATTTGCTAAGTGATCTATGCCAACTATCTCCTGCTACTCCTGCTATTTTTATTATTCAAATCATCCTTGTAGAGCTGTCTGGTTTATTTTTTTTTTTTCCCCTTTTCCTATTCTTCTTGCTCTCTCTAATAAATGTAACACAGGTTTCATCCTGCTGTTCTGTCAGTCCCAAGGAATCTCTTCCTTCTGTTCCAGCTGCACAGCTTGGGCTGATTTCTGCCAAGTCAGAGCTTGAGTTGAC